TGTAAAGTTCACATCTGGATCGACCCGTAAAATTGTTCTTTATTGCTTTATTTATTTATTTTCATTACTTCACGTTTAAGCTTGATCAGCTGTTGTTAGAATTTATTTAATATTAATTTCTAGTATCAGCTGATGTTTGCTGGAGCCACAGCTGTAAAGCTGCTGGTCATGATGTCGGTTTGTATATCTGGTGAGAGGGAAACATGAAGATGAAACCAGGAGATGTCCTTACTGAATCATCAGAGCTGAACAGGTGATGGAGAAACAGGTTTACCTTTTAGGTGACATGAATGAGTTGAAGTTATGAACTGTTTCTGAGAGACAAATAACACCAGGATCCTTTTCTATGTAGCTGACAGCTGGTAACTGTGCAGGGGCGGGTCTAGCAAAGTTTTTCCAGGGGCCAGGGGGGCAGGTAGGGCATTAACAGGGAGAGGGGGGCACAAAGAAATACTTTTCAGCCCACAGGAAGAAGCTGATCTTTAGTCTGTTGGTTTTGCACCTGATGGATCCGAACCAGAGGGCAGGATGTTGAAGAGGTGGTGGTTAGGATGGAGGTGGTCTTTTATAGTTGCCCTGGCTCTGTAGAGACATCAAGAGCTGACAGTTAAGTCCAGAGGGGGGAGTGGACAGCCGATCACCTTCTCTGCAGTTCGGATGACTGTCTGTAGTCTCTTCTTATCGGCTGTTGTGCAACCAGCGTACCACACAGGGATGGCGTGCACCAGCACACTCTCCATAGCGGCACGGCACGGAGGTCAGTCTGCAGCCTGTTCCATCTCAGGACCTTCAGGAAATGGAGGCGCTGCTGGGCTTTCTTCACCAGGGCTCATGTGTTTGTGGACCAAGATCGGTCCTCAGATATGTGGGTGCCGAGGAACTTAGAGGAGGACACCCTCTCCACACAGTCACCTTTCATGGAGAGGGGAGGGGGATCAGTTCTTCTTCTTCTCACCATCATAAACCTCATTTAAGTGCTGGAACGTTTACTGTGCAGACCTGATCTAAAACCAGTGCCACACACGGCTTATGTGACATCATCATCAGTGAATGTGGTCAAACAGGACCTACGGCGGCTCTGCAGCGCGCACTTGGATCCAGATTTCTCAGTGTTTTTAATCCTTCGTGGCTTCAGAAATCTCTGCGTGAACACAGGGTCTGCTGTTGGTCTGTAACCGCAGCGTCATGGATCCGTCACAGTCTGAATAAACTCTTTCACTGGTCAAGATGCCACAAAGTGCATTGTGGGTAAACCTTCCAGCCCTGATCAGTGCAGCTCTGTTTGTTCCTGAGGTGAGGGTTACAAAATCTGGTTTTATGAAACATCCACCAAAGTTTCTTCTTTTCTACAATGTTCAGAAACACTTTATAACACAGCTCGTAATTCAAATGATTTCATTTACCTGCTGAACTCTGCTCAAATACACCAGAGAGAGGCTAACGCTCCAGCCTGCACAATCATACTGTCACAGTTATACAGCATACATGTAGGAGAGGGCGTGGTGGTGAAGGCAGAGCTGCTGACCTGCTGTGACTCAGCACGACTTCATGTCGCTGTTCTCTAAGTGTGTGAAAGAGTCGCTCTCTGCCTCGTGCTGAAACTCGGCTGACGGGGAAAGGTCAGAGGAGGTGCTCACTGCAAACTCAGATCACTGTCACCCCGAAGGAGGAGCCTGCTGCACATCACAGGTCACCAAACAGGTCAAAGACTCTAACATGAGAGACCTCGGGGTCAGAGGTCATTACCAGTCTAAAGAAACAAGAAATGATTAGCTGCTCCCAGTCACACGCTGCCACGCAGCCACAGACTGTAGATAAAAGATGGAGAGCAGGAAATCAGGTGGGTGGAGCCTGTTCAACCATGTCCTCAGAGCAAAAAATATCTCAGCATGCGATGAGGTCATATTGGACTCCTCGCCTCGCCAGTGCACGTTTACCTGTGTAAGTTTGACCCACCTGTGCAGGAGCAGACATCGTCTTCTTCTGTGGTTTTGTTCTTCCAGCTCAGCTGAAGTCAAACTAAAACACGGTGCGAGAAACATTTTTGACTTTGGAACAAAATCTGAGTGAAATCAGAGTCACACATCCCCACAGACCCCACAGACCCTG